TGATTCCAATGCCCGATATATTGATGACATTTTCGTAATAGCAGATGAGGAGCTTAATTTGTACAGCCCCCTGGATAAGGGGGATCAAGCTCACCCAGCATCAAATCACACCTCTTAAAAAGGTAAGGGAGGGTGACTTCCATTGATGGATGACTGATGGAACAATTTGAAGGAGTACATTCCACAAGGAAAAGTGGACAGGGCAATATACAATTTTGCTCAGTTATGTCCCTCTACGCCAAAGACGAAGCTGAGTCCGCTGCCTAACCCACCGAACTGGGAGAATGTGCTCTGCGGATATGATGCGGAAGCAGCTTGCTCTCAAACGAAGAAGCTTGCGAGGAAACAGTTCCCAGAAAAGTTTACCGCAATATATATGTAAGAATATCTGTCAAAAAGGGGGTATGAAGACTTCTTCGGGGAATTCTGCTATTACTTACCCAGCCTTTAAGAAACGATTAATTTTCTCAAGTACTACCCTTATTCGACCTTCAGACATCTCTAGTATACATCCAGTGTGGTAACGACAGATAACGAGCGCCTTATCAGGCCTCTCTGAAAACAAGCACTTAGCCGGAACAACAGCAGCTGACCATGGAGCAGGTGATATTGATCGAACTACTAGTTGTCTATCCGAACAGGCGTATGAGTACTATCCTGCGTGGCTAAATGAAGGCGTGATAAAGTCAATCTCTAGTGAAATCTTAACTCCCCCGCTTGAAAGCATTCATCATGTGTAGACGTCAGGCAAGCCTCCCTAGTCGTCTACGAACCTCCGACAGGACATTTCAAGTTCCTGTGTCAGAGGACGTTTGTGAATGCGGAGGCGGTAGCCATACGGTTAGTCAGCCCAACCTTGTGCTCGCGGAAGGCGTCCATTCAAGCCATCCAGCTACTGGGACCCAAGCATTCTTACCCACGTTCTACCACTTCGAATTACAGAGACGACACACATGCATACCTCAATATCCCCTTTCCCCTGTCAATGACCTCTGAAGTAAATCAAGATCGGTCCCCCCTCCTCCCCCCCTGCTTGGCAAGTCCAGATGACATTCAATGCTTTCCCCTCCCGTCACCATTCCAATTGATTGTTTTTTATTATTCCTAGCTTTTTGCTACTCTACCCTGACGTCTATTACTGTAGGGACTTGAAAATAAAAATTGAAAGTTTGCGTTTGCGACATTGACTTTTTAACTGTCTACTTGTCCGCTACAAGGAAAACTCATTGACCGATGTTGCTCCCCTCTATCGATGGCTTTTCTTCTCTTGGACGGATTTTGGAGTGGTTTTGTATGAATGAACAAAGTGAGAAGAGGAAGAAAGTGGATATTTCGGGAGAACAGACACACAGTGACCTCCGGTAAACTGTGACGGATACTTTTTCAGACCAAAAACTGAAGAAAAGAAACACGCCGCATGCACTACCACGAAGTTACTCCACTCCAATTCATTAGAGGTGTGATCATCTCAGGCAGATTTTGGAAAGACAAAAACTGCGATGATAGTCCGCATTTTCGACAGACTGTGGAACAGTCTGGTGATGGGAGGCTGGTCTTTTGGTCTGCATGGGCCTTTAGGTGACTTACGCATGCACGGTGCCGAGTGGGAACGTTAGCGGGACACAACGTCCGGAAATACAGAGCAGTGGCCGAAGGCGGACAAGGTAGGTGTGGGAGGGAGTGCAGTGACATTTAAATCCGTTTTGTTTTAATCAATTACAATACGCTTTTAAAGAACTTGACATAGCTTTGAATGAGACATAGAACAAGCACGTGCATTTGTACCTGCTGACGACTTTGTTCTTATTTACTAGTTTGTAACAGTTGGGATACTGCTATCTTCGTTTCCTGGATAGCCTACTCACTGTGCCCAACTAATGGGTTTATCCCTTACAGGAGATTGCACAGACCTGGGAGTTCGGATGAGAGAGGGGGTAGTAGCTTTGGCGTCCACCAACAAGTTGGCGTTTGTTATTTGTCAGTCGGTCTAGCCGCGCATTACTACCACTCACTTGTATACTGCCAAGGATTCAGCACAAGCAGGGAAAATCACCCTACTGGACGAAATAGGGAACCCGCGGTCTAACACCGACTATCACCGACTGGCTGATAAAATAGGCGTGACAACATTAAAATCACGTTTATTATATAACGGTGAGACAATATGTAATGGGAATGGACATCATTCGATGGAGGTCAGGAAAATCCCAAACTGCAGAAGAGAAGGTGAAGTACCAGATGTCGAGGAAGTACTTAGTCGTTGACTTTCAATTACAAATTCGGATCACTGGGACAGCCGTCCATGTTTTACAGGAAGTTTCGGCCCAATGTAGACCTGCTACCTTAAATGCGACGTATTTTTCCGAAGTGTCGTACCCATGCTTGAGTTCAGCGTCAGAAGGCCTAAGATGTGTTCAGTTTCCTGTTCATTGATGCCACATGGGTCCGGTTTGGCCATGGTTTAGTCGGTACTGGTGGTGGCTGTAGACGGGCGGGTGACGCAACCGATGAACACTTTGAAGTCTGAAGCGACCATTTTATGCGCCTCTGCTGTTTATCGCGTCTGCGCTGGACATAGCTGCGCAGGGTGTGGAAGGAATACACCTGGACACTCAATTCTACCTAAAACAGGGTTACTCCATGTTGCACCCCACTTCCAAAAATGTTTCCTTAGAAAATTCCGCTAAATGGAGCAGTGAACGACAAACTGTCTCTCAAAAGGAAAGAGACCTTCACCACAAAGCGCCACATCTGCTTGAGTGCTTGGAATGGGAAGGGGGTGGTGTAGGAAGCTTGAACTTCAATACCAAGGAGCAGTCTTCACTGAACACGTGATACGTATGAGGTAAAATTACTTCAATGAAAAACCCAAGACGTAAGTGAAGCAAAAATGGCCAAAAAGACAATAAGCCTTTGGGTGTCAGACTGAACCAAATGAATTCAAGTAGCACAACTTGTTTCGGTAATAATTACACTCAAATGTCTTGAAAGCAGTTCCCAACAACAGTCACATTCAGAGCACCCAAACCTGTATATACCAGAAATACAGCTTTTTGGCCATTAACAAATACATTTGCGAAAATATAATCCACTATAAAGTGTCTGCTCATGCCATCACCACGAAACCAAGTAAAAAGGTCCCGAGAAAACGAAAAAACAGCTAGTGGCAGTGTCATATTCCCGATTGGTAGGAGTAGAGTCGTCGTAATTCTAGACAAGACCGAGTGCGGGAAAAAGTCTACCACCTGTCCGTTGGCTGAAACGCCTCTGTCCATTACAAGGGAACATTACTTACAGAAGTAATCAAACAAGATCTTCTTCTTCATTGTTGTTGTCGTAGTAGTAGTCTTACTATCTCGCCTCGCCATTATCGCCTCCGCCATTAATATCAAAGTCGTGTTATCGTCCTGTATTTTCATACACTTGTCCCTTGTAATCGTATGCTTACTTCTGTGGTAAGGACGAAAAAAAGGAATTACGTCCCAGACACAGTCTTTTACTCTTAGAACGTAAAAGTTCATTTCAGTGAACCTCGAACACCAATAAAACTGCCTCCTTAGGCCCCGCCCCTTCTCCCCACCAATATGCTCTTTTTTACTTGAAGTTGCTAAACCCCAGAAATATTGATTTGGGGTGTCTGTAGGGGAAGGGGGGGGGTGGGGGGTGAGCCCCTTCCGTGCCAGACAGCAGCTGACGCCAGGTACGACGGAACAACTGTTCAGTCTGTACTGATCACCGGCCAACATGGCTTAGGGAAGTGTCTGGGAGACGGTGCTGTAGCGCAGTCTCCCCCAATGACCCGTCTTGCTTGCTTGCCAGTAGCAGCTGCTGCAGCAGCAGCAGAAACATGAAACTAATGACGAAAACTGTTAATGATAACGGCAAATAACATGCGCCCTATCAGGTCCCTCTGAAAACAGACACTTAGACGGAACAACAGCAGCCCCATCGTCAACGCTGTTGGCGGCGTCTGTAAGTCCAGAAGGTAACACATGGCGTGAAGACTTCACCTAATTACCGTCAGCTCGGCTCCTCAACGAACCCGTGAAGGTTAGGCGAATAGCACAGAAAGGACAGTACGGTCAAAACCAACGGTGCATTAGTGTATTTTTGTCCCAGTCTTGACAAAATCAGCAGTGTAGACTGGAGTAGATCGTGGGCCCGGAGTCGCCTCTGTACAGTGGAGGCGGACGGCATGTCTTAAAAGAACCCCCAGATGTTTCTATCAAGAGTTTCACTACCTCATCCAGCAACTGTTGCTCAATGTTCAATGCTAATAAGGCCGTTTTAATAGTGGGACTGCTTCGCTTCCCCTCTGAGTGTTAATCGGTCTCTGTTAACAAAGTCCAACATAGAAACTGGTGCACACAAACACCATATCCACAAACCACAGACACATTGCAATATTCCAAAACGCACTTTTTAAACAAAATTTTCGCCCCCAGGTGCAATTCATTGTAAGATATTAAGTATAAAATACGGTCGCTTGCGAGACGCCTACTCACAGAAAATGCCCTAACATTCACGGCAGACTGTAGACTGTCTAACTGAGGAGCGGGCTATGCAAGCAGCCATTTTTCCTCGAATAAAGCAGAACGGCTAACTCTCGAGGCGTGGTTCTCCGACGCCCACTCCATGAACGGGCATCTGGACCTTCCTGCAGCTTACAAAGTCCTACGTCATCACAGTGGTAGAGCTCAGGACCAAACAACCACACCGGACTTAAGAAGGCCATACGGGGACAGCCCGACGGCGATTCTATTCGGTGAAGAAGAACAAGAACCGCCAGACCGACCAGCCGACGCTGGTTCAGTCACCTCCCCCGGACGGAGTGGTGACTCACAACGCACGCAGACAAAACGACCGTCAACCATCCCCCGAGAGGCCGAGGCAGCGAGAGGGGAGGAAAATCGATCAGCACGAGGCCGACCAACGTGACACGCCACTTGGGGTTTCTGGTCGAGTAAGTGCATTTTACGCAGACCTAGCTCTTCGAAACGTCAGCATCTAAATAAACCTGTTCCGATCAGCCCTTCTTTCTTCTTCTTCTTCTTCTTCTTCTTCTTCTTCTTCTTCTTCTTCTTCTTCTTCTTCTTCTTCTTCTTCTTCTTCTTCTTCTTCTTCTTCTTCTTCTTCTTCTTCTTCTTCTTCTTCTTCTTCTTCTTCTTCTTCTTCTTCTTCTTCTTCTTCTTCTCCTCCTCCTTCTTCTTCTTCTTCTTCTTCTTCTTCTTCTTCTTCTTCAAATAAAGTTACTACATCGATAATATCCATTATATGATAAAGTTACCCGCATGTTACCTTTGATACGAAGAAAGTTATGGGTCGTAGGCCTATAATTATGTTGGAGGCATAAACGGTGGCCCTGATTAAGTCATGGGTCAATAGAAGCGAAGAGACGAGTCCCAGGAAGCAGTCGTGAAGAAGGAGACACGATTGCCGGGACAAGAGCTTTACGCGCCTGACATTTCGGATTCCTGCTCGAACCCATCATCAGAGGCAATAGCAAATACGGGTGGTTCATGCACAAGGGGCTGCAGTAAGTCAAGGGTGCAGTTCAGTTCCAAACTGCGGTTAGTATGTAAGCATTTTCCGCAGGGAGGGAAGAAACCGAACAAAAATGCCATCGTCAAACTTTAATGTAATCCGCCTATAGGTTGTATAAGCGATTCCATTAACTGCGGCCCAGAAATACAGGAACACAGGAGTGGATCACAATTCCTTGTCGGCTTGCGCAGCATCGATCGCACCCTGTCTTTCCTCGCCTGTTGTGAACCACTGATGAAATAGAGTCAAGCCCAATGTAGATGAGAGCAGGTACAGACCAGACAATTTGTCCCTCATTCTTCTACGTTGAGCACCACTTAGTTTCTCAATCCTCACTTCACTCGAGTATGTCATTAATGAGAGTTGCCACCAAAAACCACATTAGGACTGAATAACTGAAATCCGATCCTCGGTCGTGCGCCATCTTACCTGTTGGCGACCCCCGACTTTTATCTCGTTGCGATGACTCGAAAACACGTCAGGTTTACTTTGGTGGAGGAATGTCGTGCAGGATCGTTCCCAATCTTCGTTTCTCCCAACATCATGATTTAGTTGTTAGACTGAATAAATCCTACTGTAAATGAGGTCAAACACAGGCGGGCAATCTAAGCACATGTGCTTATGAACGTCAGAGGTTCATGCCCCCTCTCACTCTCTTTTGCTCGCATGCATTGATTCCCATAGATCAATTGCCGATTAGGAAGAGAAGAAGACTGACATAAGTAAAAAGAAAATTTTTTAGAGAGGTTCCAAGAGTAGCTGAAGTAGGCAGCGCGACGAACATGCGTCTAGTCCTCTGGTCTTGGGTGAGTGTGGGTCAAACAACATGTAGAGCTACAAACGAATACGCGGTCGTGGATGCGGACGTAAAGAAATGCGAGACGTTGGGAGTAGGATCACTAACATGTTTACCCAACCTGATCGGCTGATGTCGGCCTAAATTTACTTATTGTTTATGGCCACCAGTCAAAGTGTATAGTCACGAGTCCTGAGCCTCTGTGTCATATAGAAGGTTCGGTATGCATGATTGCACAAATTATTTAGTTAGAACTACGCCAAATTTGAGTGATAAGTAAACATTGACGCATTCTTCTAGAGACCAACAAAACTCCACCCCGGAAGTAATTATAAGAAAAGCTTGGAAAATGCAGTGGTACGTACATGTATGTATCCGACAAAATGGATTAAGCTATGAAAATCCGCTTCGCAAAATTGTCAAAGTCTAAGCCAATAGTGCCGCTCAGAAATATCTAGCGACAATGAAAGCCCAACAACGTCCTCGCATTTGTTATGGTCCAGTCGTTTCTGTGCTTCGAGTAAGCAAACTTCACATGTGAATCAGCTACGAACAACCATTTTAAATGATGTTGCGTTCAACCGTCTGTGATGCAAACACCAAAAAGTGACTATACGTTGTGCAATCTAGCATCAACAACGAAGGCTGTCAGTCCGGTGTATGCTTTCAAGTTTTCCACGTCCTTGCACAGACAAACTTGTCCTGCAACTTCAGCGGGATCAGAGTTACTTGGAGGGAAGCGGCATGTCGATGAGTCAGGAAGAACAAAATGCCGTCGGATTTGTGCGGTTGCGGAACATAGCCATGATAACTGAAAACGCATTAACATAAACCAGGAAGTTGGTTGCCTCCAACACTCCCAGCGCAAGAAATCCTTGTTGACTTCATGATTCGACCGACTTCCACGTTGGCTACTATAAAATAGTGTGCGTTCAATCAAAAGGAGGTATATGTTCCCAGGCAGCACATTCCAACCACTACTGGGTATGCTTGCACGCGTACCAGTAAGGACTGGTGAGAGCACGGTGTAACGGAATGGCCTCCGTGACGGTGTTGGTTACCTGAAAACCACGTGAATTTCACCTATGGACATCAGGCGAAGTTAGAGCTCACCCTCCACTTTAAATAGCCCTTTTAAAATTCCTTCACTTAGTTTCGTTTCAATGTACCTACAAAAATTTTCAAATGAGCACATTTAAATCGACGAAAGGGAGCATATTTTGTGCGAGCCGTGAGCCCTCCTCCGCCGGATAACTTCCCTAACGAACTCAAAGCCGCAAATGACTTTTTCCGGCGATGCTTCTCCACCAGATCGACAGTTAAGAAAATACACGACGCCTTGGAATGGTATTTCCACTTTAAGCGCTTGATCAACAAGGCGGGCAGAGTCATGATACTATAGCAGCAGGACTCGAGGAAGAATTACTGGACACTCTGGTTTACACTTTAATGGTAGATCCTACCTTCCTCACACATCAAGGGCAAATCTGCGCGTCCTAGTAGAGTTGAAATACGAAACAGGAGCTGC